AAGTCCCATTGATTCTGATAGGCCTACTCTTTATTTTGATTAAATCCAAATCAGTCCCACAGTGTGTTGAAGCGCATGAAACAGGTTGGAGATAGTGGGCTTGTCTGCATGTCAGGGCAGCCTGTAGTGGCTCTCCTTGTTATCTTGTGAGAACCAGGTGGCAGCTGGTAGCAGCCTCCCTGTAGCGCTTGGCCTTTTCATAAAGGAAATGTTTGCCTTCAGCTCTGCAGTCCCAGGGCACCATGAACAGTCACAGAACTTCACATGCAGGATAAATACAAACAAACAAAAAGCAAGTTTGAAGAGGCTAATGAAACTTAGAGGTCAAATACACAACACACCCTCTTCTGTTCCCACAGATTCTGTATGCATGAGCAGGACCCATTTACCCACCCCATTTTACTAAGTTCTCAGGGATCACCATTTGCAAGCAATGCCCATGAACCTCATGCTCCAAGTAGAGCAAAGGGATACATAAATATGGGTCACAGCTCATGGTCAATGCGTCATTAAAACGTTTGCTACAAATGTTGGCAAGAACACTGTATTCCAATATTCTGAATACAGAATTTTGTATGCTTACACATGCTGCCCACCGTTCCTGAAGGATTTCCTAGGACCACTCAAATTCTTGAGGCCATTTTTAGCTGTACAGCTTCTAGTTTTCACACTCCATTCTACTACCAGCTCCACATTTGAGGCTCCAGCCCCACAATTCTTCCTTGCTATGCCCTCACCTAAACAAGTCTGGATAGGTATCATCTTGATGTCAGAGTGAGCAAATCTCCAACCTTCAACAGGGGGGGTGCCAGGTGGCATCACAGACATCTATTGGACAGTGTCCAGGACACTGCTGCCAAGGGTATGTCAGAATTCCTTCCTGTGCATTCACCCACCACATGGAAGGCCACTTCTATTCATAAAGATTTCTCCAACTTTCCATTCCTCTCTCTCACAGCTTCTCCTCTTCTTCTCTATCTCCTCTTGTTCTCTTCTACTCAAGTTCATTATCGCTTGCAATTAAAGGGGGAAAAACTAGCAATCCTTCACTGTAGGGTTATCCCTTCCCCCTTCTATTATACAGAGAAAGGAGAGACTGTGGAAAGGTCTTCAAGCAATTAAAAAACACACACACACACACACACCAGAGCTGTGGGTGCTGGAGGCAAACTGAAAAATGCCCTTTCTTCAAGAAACCCTCATAAGGACTATCAAGATCTTCACTTGCAGACTTAATATTTCAAGAGAGTAAGAGGAAAGAAAGGCTGTTTTATCAGTATTGTAGAGGAAGGAGGGGTAAGAACCTCCTCCCCACCTCACTGTTTTGAGTGCATTCAGGCCCCAACCCTGCAGAAACTAATTAAACATTAGAGTAACATGCCAATCAAATCATTATGTGCAGCTCATGTCACACCCCATTTGCAATGGCCCCCTGAACATATCTGACCAGGCTTTCCCACATCTGAACCAGATCTACCCTAAGCCACAGCCAACATTATTTGTCGGGATGCCCTATGTCCTCTTTTACAAAGGACAGTCCTCAAGTTGCAGGGCTGCTGAAGGACTGTCCTCTATTCTGACTCTGTCTTATATTTGAAGGACTATCCAGTCCAACTCCAATTTAAAGGCAAATGACCCTACAAAGGCAGAGCCCAGGGATCTTTACACTGCCCATCCCAGCAGAGTGAGCAAGGTACACAGATTTCCTAGCCACGATCTTCCTCACTATAGTGAGATGTACTCTATTTCTGTTTCAATCATAACAATTACTTCAAAATCTGCAACTCTCTATATAGACAGACAGCATATGCAAATTTTGTGCAAACTGGTGTCCTCTTTTTTTGGCAATCCCTAAACTGATCCCTTATTATTGCCAGGATTGATAGCATGGTAACAAAAATATTGCAAAAATATATCTCCCCCTCCCACTCTTGTATATACACACAGAAACTTTACTGACTTAGTAAAGTAGCACTCACTAGTCCTCTTAAACAATATTTAACAAGCATACCCTTCACAATTGTGTCGATCTTGAACAAGAACATTAGATGAGGCATGCATTAAAATCCCTCTGAGAACTCCATAATCCTTTGCTGTAGCATCTGCACTCAGCCCTGCAATTTGTGCCAACAGAGTTATGGATTTTAACCAAGCCTAATCAAAGGCTTATTAAGAAGCAATAGATTAATTTATATGCAAGCCAGTACTTTTCACAATGCATTTTCTCTCTGCCTCACTGAGACCACCATGGCAATCCACAAATCACTTCCAAGTCATGGGTAGAGCAACAATCGCTCCAGGGTGTAATATATACAAACGTGCAAGCATGTATGTACACAGGGCGGAAAGGATAGGAAATATTTTAGTTCTTGCAGAACTGAGAATGCCGAAGAAATTGATTTAGAAGCTTTGAGGCTAACTTGACATATATCATATCCATCATTTGTTCACTGTTCGCTTGTTATGGAACTGAATGAAAACCTTGACAGGTTCATCTGCCCAGGTAACACTGCTACAACTGCCAGTCATGTGCCTGCCACTGTGCACTAAATTCAGATTTTGATACAGGATCTCAAGCCACCCTAACTGTGCGACCACAGGCCAAAAGCCAAATTCATGGTGGTAGATGCTCACAGTCACTCAGCATACATAGGAAACTGATGAAAGGTGGTTCAGGAAAGTCCCTTCTCCTAGCATGGACATTAATGGTTGTGAGAATAATCCATGCCTACACAAGCCTAACACATTCTGTCAGTCTTGGCCTATGGCTTATTGGGCATGTGATTTCTTGTTTAGATTTCTATCCCATCTTTTCTCCTAGGAGCTCATTACCACATGCATAATTCTCTTGCTGCTCCATGCATTTTATCCTTAAAACAATTCTGAGCAGCTAGGCCAAGAGAAAACAACTGGCCCAAGATCACATAGTCAGCTTCATGGGGATTTCAACCTAGGCCTGCCTGTTCCATCACTTTAAACACAATCTCGCACAGGCTGCTAGACCACCTCACTTTGCTGTGAAGCAACAAAATCAGGTTTATCATGAATTCACCTTGGGTGGTCATACGATTCTGTTTGGGTTGTCATGATAATGGACTGCAACTCCCATCAGCCTCAGCCATTATGGCCAATGGTCCAGGGTGATCGGAGCTGCAGGCTAACTACATCTGAAAGGTGGCTACATAAGCAAGATCCATATAATTCTTCTCTCAGACCAGCACCCCTAAACTATAGATCAATTGTCCTTGGTTTGTGAAGCTTAGTTGCAAGAGGACATATTAGAAACCTCTTATTTAAAATGGCTACAGCTTCCCAGAATAGGCCCCTCTCCTTTGCCAAGTCTCTGAATTTTGATCTGACAACTTTGGTTACTGTCAGCTGCTGGTGGAGAATGAAACTTTAAATGTCAAGCAACAAGGAAATGAGCATCAAAGCAAATACCACATAACCTTCTTCTTTCAAAACTGGCTGGGAACAAGCAGAAACACAGAGAAGCTAGTGGCACAGAACCAGATACAAGAAGGCATGAAGAGGACCCAGGGTTTCTCTCTCAGACACACACGTCTTATCATTTTGCTTTGTTGAAACATTCTACAAAAAAATGTTCAAGGCCATTTATATGTGTTGACAAAATACAACTTCTCTGTTTTCCCCTGACAAAGCAACATTTTATTGTGTGCCTTTGTATGTTGACAGCAGGGTATCTAGTCAAGACAATATTTCTAACAGTATCAGAAGATAGAAAGAGAGAAAATAGCTATGTGATTCCTTTAAGATTCATTTCATACACTTAATGCCACTACTATGTAATTTGGCATTTAAAACCAAAGTCTGCTGCATGCTATTAGATTTGCCACTCCAACCTGGTGCCCTCCAGATATATTAGACTACAACACCCACAGTCCTCGACCAGGATTCATGTGAACCTTAATATGTAAGAGATGCAGATTTTTATTTTATGTTATTTTTTGGCAGATCCCTTTTCATCTAAAGGCTGAATTCTACTTCAGAGTTCTCTGGAATGAGACTTTAAGAGGTCTCATTCCAGTGCTGGATGCAGCTGAATGCAACAGAGGTACAACCAATTATATTTTTGTGTAATGCTCTTACTGCCAGTGACTAAGCCTTTGGAGAGATATTTCTATCTTTTGAAAAGGTGAACAGCTGTACAAAAGCTAGGAAATGACCAACAGTTGGTGACTAGGAAAAACAGGGCAGGGCCAGGTGAAAGGGATGTGGTTTTCCACAGAAACTTGAAGGGCCAGATTGGCACTCAGAGCCTGAGGTTCTCCACCAGTCTTAAAAGATTCTTAAGGCACAATCCTATATATGTTTAAACAGAAATGAAGCCCTACAATTCCCACCATCTCTTCTGCCAGCCCTGCTGGTTGGGACATTGTAGGATATTTTCCTGTCTAAATATGCACAGGGTTGCAAATTTAGTCTCTGTTGCAAGGCAAAAGTTCTACAGCAAGGTGAAAGTCCTTCCAAATTCCAAAGCAGTCTTTGCATACCTATGTGTAAGATTAATTACCATTTTGACTGCAACTTATTATCCTTCAGAGTAGGATATATCAGAGGATTAGTAAAATTCAGAGCACCCCACAGTCATGTCATTCAGTTACAGAATCTGAGCAGGACTGGTTTGACCTACTTTTGCTTCATCCACTGGCTTAATCCAGCCAGGCTTTAATATGTATACGTGTGTGTATAGATAGATAGATAGATAGATAGATAGATAGATAGATAGAACCAATTCTTTTGAGTGTTTTAGCAGTCAAGAATCCAAAGAAACACCATTTTCTATCCATTAAAAACACACATAAACAAACAGCAAGATCTCTCAGAAATGTGTGCTTAGATAAAACAGCAAAAAGAAACTGTACCTCAAGCTCGGTTTCTCTCCGATTAATAGCATCTGTGGATTGATTCAACTTTTCTAGCTCCCCCTGGAAGAAAGTCAAAAAGAACAAGAATATGTTGAAAAATAAGACATGCTGACACAACTGGGAAGGAGCTGGGTTATTAAGTGTCATCTGGCATTTCGCACAGGGGCCCCAGCTGGAATGTTAAATGGAAACAGAAGGATGGCAGGCGTTTAACAGCAAAGTTGAACTTTGCTGTGTAAAGACCTTTGTGGTAAGGAAACGGGGGGGGGGGGGCGGATGACAATGGGGACGACAACGACTTTTTGAAGGTTACATTTGAACAATGCAGTTCTAAGCTGTTCTAGTTGCTTATTGGTCATGTGCCTACATTCAGAGTGTAGCCTTTGTCATAATTATCCAGCAAATTTGATAACAGGCACACTGTTAGGATAAAAGGACAAGTAGGCTTTTGTTCAGTTTCAAGAAAAGCAGAGCTTGAGAATGTTCCTACCTGACCAACAGACACCATTACCCCAATGTAGATGATTCCAATCAAAACAGTTCTGATTCTGTGCAATGATATTTATTTATTTACATGTTTATGTTGCCCTTCCTCCAAGAACTTTAGGGGTGTGTAGACGGTTCTCTCCTTTGCCCCATTTTAATCCTTTAATACAAACCACTGAGACAACTTAGGCTGAGAGGGTCAACCAGACAGCTTCATGATTGAGTGGGTATTTAAACCCATCTCTTCCCACTTTTCCAATATTCTAAGCACTGTCCTGAGACTTTTATGTATAGGATGGGGTATAAAAGTTTTTTAAATAAAAAATAAATATTTAGTATATACCGTTTTTTTTTTTACAGCCTCTGTGGCAAGGAGATGGAGAAAGATAAACTAGAGAATGCTTTTAACAGCATTCACACTCTTCACATACATTGTACAAGTAAATATCACAACCAGGCTATAAAGTAAATTGTCCCCATATTGCAGATGGCTTATCTGAAGACAGCCAAGCAGATATTTCAACTGATGACCTTCTGGCTCATAGGCCTGTTTAGGCCTCTTAAAGTACTTTTGAGAGGTTGTCATAGTACATGTAAATACATTTTTACATGTACTTGTTGTCAGAGTACATTTCTACAAAGTCATGCTGAAAGAAAGATTTATAAATTGCAGTGCAAGCTTCATTTTATGTGTCAATTGTGATCAAATGGGTTATATCCAAAGCCTATTTTTTGCCTTCAACCCACCACTTCTCTCCCCACTTGTCCCGTTAATTTGAAATCTGTAGTTAGGAATGGCTTCACTTCAACCTCTTCAACTCCTCCCCATGTGGAAATATTATTTTAATCCTTTCTAATAGGCATACTGCTGGAATCACCCAATTCCTCCTCCTTTCCCTTGACTGTGGACATCTTCAGAATTGCCATTTCTGCAGAACAGCCTCCTTGCTACCTACCAACCTCTGAAACACCCTTCTTAATTATACTGGTTCGTTCCCCTCACATTCACTGTGACATGTTTGCACACCACAGCACTGAAAAAAGTAATAACTACAAAAAGAAAAAAAAAGACCATGACCTTCAAGAAGGCTTCTATTTTATTTATGTATAATTTTACATGTAGGTCATTTTTCCACCTCAAGGCCTTAAAACAACTCAGAGACTAAAAGTAAAGAAAGCACAACAAAACACCACAATGAAACCACAGTAGCAACAAACACTGTCAACAAAATCTAACATATCACTAAAACCAACAGAACAGAGCTCCCACCAAAAAATAAAAATAAAAAACCCCAAAGCCTATCAAAAATAGAACTGCCTTTACAGCTTGAAAAAAAAGGTATGTAACAAACCTCTAGGAAAAGGAAATTCCAGTGTTTGGATGCCAGTATTGAAAGGGATCTTTCTCCTCAGCCACTATCAGTCATACCTCTGATGGCAACAGGACCCAAAGAAAATGCCCAGGTGATGCCTTCAACAAAGGCAGAAAAGACTTTTTTGTAGCTGAAAAGACTTTTTTCCTGCCAGTCTTGCCAAGTTTTGCCACTGACCAGAGCAAGGCCCTGCCATGAGGCAGAGTGAGGTGACTGCCTCGGGCACCAGTTGTGGGGGATGCTGTTCCTCCTGAGCCCCCAGTCATTTCTCCTCGCTGGAGTATGGAGTTGTGCATGCTTCACAGCCTGTCCCAAGCCCCCTAAGCAGCCTTGTGCCTCAAAACTGGAGTAGGATACTATCACCTGACCAGTGTGAAGTACGATTCAACTGCCACTCCAGTTGGCTTTTGCAGCTGGAGTGGGGATGGAACCCCATCTACCCCTTTGCCTGAGGCAATAGTCTATCTTGGGCTGGTCCTGCTGGACACTGGATGGGACAGGCAACAAAGGCTAAAATGGGAGATAGCACGCCATGTTGGACTGACACCAATCACTCCATCAAGGATGGAGAATACATGGCCTTCCAGATGTTGAACTGCAGTTCCCATCATCCCCAGCTGGCATAGCCAGTGACATGGGGTGATGGAAACTGCAGTTCAACATCATCTAGAAGACCACATTTCCCCCATCCCTGCAATACCAGATGGGATTATATCCATATGTAATCACAGGACAGCATGGGTCAACATCGATGGTGGGGATGGAAAGAGAATGTGGACAATCCTGTTTTCTGCTGTGCTGCCTCAATGGAGTGGCATTTAAAAGCAAGAAACACCTAACTTATGAACCGTGGCAATGCCACAGTTAACTAAAAGGGAACATGAGTGAACTAGATGACCTCCAAGGTTCCTACCATCCCATAATGCTAGAATGCTCAATGAGAATTCAAGTGCTTGAGGTGCTTTTGACCTGAACCACACAACTGCAAGCCATGTGTCCTCAAGTGCGTTTACTTCATCCCCCCCCGCCCCCCATAAGAAGTCTCGGCCTGGCACAAACAAGCCGCCTTCTAAGGTTCTTGCTGCCCCTCCGCCAGCCCTTGGCTAGCAACGACCCCTTGGCTAGCATTTAGCACACGATCCATCCTAAGAAAACCTGAAGAACGTAGCACGGGGGGGGGGGGGGTGATTCGCTGACAACGACTAAAGGCAGAGACCGCAGCGAGGGAAAACGGGGAGAATAAGGGATGGGGGCTCCCTTTTGCACCCGACGCTGCGATTTTTCACAGGGGAGGAAAAGGATCTACGTTTTTGTAAAGTGCCCTTCGAAGGAGAGATCGGCGAGCCGCACTCCTCGTTTGCAGCAGCAAGCTAGCTAATTGCAGGAAGACTTCGGCAGCGATCTCACGAAGCCCCCCACCCGCTCACACACAAAGATGCACCACGGAGGGAAACGCCCCCTCCCTACTGTGGAATCGCACGGCGTTGCGCGGGGTGGGGGAAGGCATTTGCGGGGAATCGACAGGAGGACGTGCTCTCCTCCCCGGCCCTAATAAAAGATATCCAGCGTCGCAATCCTCATCTCGCCCCCCCCCGCCGCCGCCCCACGGCCCACGCCGGTACGATTCTTCCCCACTTTGCAGGGGTCCTTGCAGTCGCGCCTCTCGGCCCACCAGGTGGCTCCTCCGAAGGGGCGTGAGCCGAAGGGGTGGCGGCGCGGTTTGGGGTGGCCACGGCTGATGTCCGCAGACAACGGGCAGGGAAACACTGGGCCTGATCTTCCCGATAGTCTGTGGCGACTTCCACTCCCTTTCTTTTCCTTACCTGAATCCTGGGATCCACTTCTTCCTCCTCCTTCTCCTTCTCCTCCTCCTGCTGCTGCTGCTGCTCTCCGTCCTCCGCCGTGTTCCTCCTCATAGCAGGATCCATGTTGGCTACGTGGGAAATACTGGAAAGCGAAGCAGTGAAACAGTTGTGGTGGGGAGGGAATCTGGCCCCAGATCTTTCGAGCTTGGATGCCTGTGCGTCGGCTTGTTTTCCCTTTCCCTCCGTTCCCTGCAGCTATCCCGGTTCCACCCTGCTCGCGTGGCCCTTGGCGGCGGCGGCGCCTTCAACCCTCGCCGCAAGGCTGTGCCAGGCGAATGAGAGAGACGCTTCTCCGCTAGAGAAAGAGGGAAGGAAATGCGCCTCGCCCCCTGCCTGCTGGAGCGGCGGCGGCTGTCACCGAGCAGTTGTCTCTCCTTCCCTCCGACGCCCTGACACGGTCCAGCCTTCGCCGCCTCCTTCCCAGGCGGCCAAATCAGAGCCCCGGCTTTCAAAAAAGGAAAAACGGCAATCCCCCCCCCCCCCACACCGCCTGACAACCTCCCCCGCTGCCTCGGGGAGATCCTGCAGGCGCTCCCAGCCTCGTTTTCTCGCTTGGCTCAGCTCTCTTTCTCTCTCTCTGCCTCCCCCCCCCACCCCGCCAAACGCTTCGCCGCATAATCTGTGCGCCCCTTCCCCACCCCGCCGGCGCCTCAAGACACCACAAAAAAAGTGTGTGCAGGAAAATCGGACAAGCTTCGTGAAACCAAGGTAGCTTTACGGGCATCTCGCTGTCACTCCGCTGCGGCGCTTGGGGGATTTCACTGACAGCGGCGTGCATGTTGTACCATACAGGGCTTTTTTTTTTTCCCAGGCGAAACAACGGAGGATTGTGCGTACGCTAAAGCTGTGGAGAACCTCCAGCCCTGACAGGCAAATCTGACCCTCTGAAACTGACCCAGCCACACCTTCCCCGACCACTAATTTTCCAGGTCCCATGCCCTCAAGTGCCCACATTATTCTGAAAGGACCGAGTGCCACTCCTAAGACTTAACGACTGACACGAAGAACTTCATGTTCGAATAAGTGAGTTTTTTAATATACATTTGACCCCGTTCCATGTTGCTTTTGGTCTTGCCCACTGCTTTAATCCCCACCACCATGAACGCATCTCCAAAATTGAATCCTGCCCTTGGATTGAAAAAGGTTCAACACTCCTACCTTAAAGGCTCACAAATTAATGATGACATGTACTAGACTCCACTTCATTAGTACGTGCCACATTCTCCTCAACTGTCAGAGATACCATAAACACATGGGGTTTAGGAGGCGCATGTCTATGTGCATTTGTGTATGCATAACCTGCCCAGTGAAAGTTACACACCAGTGGGTGTGTGGGTAAAAGCCCTCAGACTCCAGACTGAGAAGGCCATTTTAGGGTTTTGCCTGACAGAAATGGCCCCAGTAGGTGATTGATTTTAATGCTTGTATTTGGTTTAAGACTTACAATTTGGGATTAGCTATTGCTTATTGAATTTTAATTGTGTATTATTGAGGCTTTATGCATTTCATGAACAGCTTTGAGAGTGTTATTTTGCCATATAACTTAGAAGCTCTTTCAAAACAAAAACTGCCCTGGAATCTGTTTCCAATGGGACTTACCTACACTCCCTACGGAGCATTCAGTTTTAGTCTCTATGGAAGGTATAACAGATTCTCTTTATAGCTTCAGAGCAATCCTAAATGTGTTTACTGAGAAATAAGCCCTATTGAATGGAATGGGACCTACTTCCTGGTGAAATAGGTATACAAATACAGTCTTAAGGTTTTAAAGATGAGCATGGAGCCATTCTAACTGAGAACTTTCCTTAAATTCCTTCCTTACTCCAGACATGTGTGGAACGGCTGGGGTTCCTCCACAAAGATTTTTTCCACAGAAGTTATGGTTGTATAGAAAATATATGTGAACCCCACCCATAAAGTTAATCTGGGGCAGATGCATATTGCACATTGCACTGTAAGGCAATCATAAAACCATTATGGGAAGAAATAAGCTGTAGATGACATCCATAGAACTTTTTTGTTACTTAAATGCAAGAAGAGTTTGAGAAAATGGCTCACTTGAATGCAAAATGTTTAGGGCTAACATCTAGATGTACCCCTACTGGCATGACCATGTTGGAAACGTTTGAATTAGACTGAGTACAACCATATACAGAAGGTGCTGAAGCAGCTATGTAACTGTTCGAAGATATTCCTACAATTAGCAGATGGTCCTGATTACCGCTTTACTCCATGCATTGCCAATTTTTTTCTGCTGTTGTAAAGTGTCCAGACAGCTTTGGCTATTGGGCAGTATAGAAATAGAAATATTAGCAGCAGCAGCTTCCATTGCTAATTTCTGCTTGTCAAACTATGATTAAGGAAACATGAGTTGTTTGGGTTTTCCTTTTCTGTCATCAGTTGGCAATCTTGTTTGTGGCTTTAGAGTTTCCGCTTTTTGTGGCTTTAGAGATTCCTCTTTCTTTGTTCATCCTAACTTTGAGAAGAGAGATACAAAACAGATCTCCCTTTGAAAGCACCGCAGCTGTGCATGTCTGAGCATGAAATCATAACCTTCAGCAGCACCTGAAGCTAACTGCTAAATATCTCAGTTTTTTTTCCTCACTGGCAGAAAAACATGTCCAAAACCACCTTGAGTGACCTTGAACATCCAGTCAGGGACAGGCCCCTCTACTGTATTACAGCTAAAACAGCAGCAGCTGTGTGTGCCTCATACACACTGATTTCTCTGTCTCAGCAGAAAGACCTGTAGTGATATTGTATGTCTGTGGTTTTTTAAAGTACCTCCAGTACAGTCACTGGGTGCAAGAATCAAGCCATTAGCTCATGTAGGGTAGACAGCAAGCCAGCACAAATTAACCTGGATTTTTCACCACTAGCTCCTCTTTAATCAATATTTCATCCCCATAGAGAAAGGAAAGCCAGCACTTATCTTTAATTCTTAAAGTACCAGTAGTTACCCAGTTCTTAAATGAATGGGTAGGGTTAACAAGAAAAACCATAATGATTAAATGATAGTCTTCAATCCAACTGATTTCACAGATAATAATTTGAAGGGGCAAAACTACTTGTTGATGAAAAAAATCAATTTCTAATAAGATTTCAACTGCAAGTCCACAGTTCACAAGCTTGTTTAGCTTATGGTGCATGCTGTAGTTATACTGACAAAGTCATCAGGAAGTGTTGGCACCCACCAGCAAGTGATGACTCCACACTAAAAATTCTCTTCTCTCATATATACGTAAGACTTGCTGACTATGTTCAGTGAACCCTTCACTGCTATTACATAGTGGGCGGGTTTGCATGTCACAACAACCCACCGTGGTAAATGACCACAATGGGTTGCTACAATCTGTCAGCCACAATGAGCTAAACAGGTAACTGGGTTCATTGAGGCTGCTTTCCTGCTTTCCTCTCATTCCTCTAGGCACTATGCCTGGGGATACCACAGGGAGGAATGAGACTTTGACAGGCAGAGTCACCTGTAGTCTGCAGTCTCTTCTGTGCAGGACTTAACCCTGAAACAGAGCAGAGAGGACAGGGAAGCTGATCAGGCATCCTTGCCTCCTGCTCCAGAAGAGACCTCTGAGGGTGCCTGATTAACTCTGAACCACAAACGGGGCGGGGGGCTGACCACAATTAGCCAGGTATTGCTAGGGAAAGAAGCAGCTCCAGTTAGCTGATTCTCCTGCTCCTGGTTGAAAAGCTTTCCTCCAGCAGGAGAAGGGAGAACCTAGGCTAGACCAAGATGCTTCTTTCTCAGCCCATCCCTGCTTCTGCTGGAGAGAAAGCTGTTCAAGCAACAGGAGACTGGAATAGGCTGAGAATGGTACATCTCTGCCTAGTCCAAGTTTTCACCCATTCTAGCTGGAGTAGTTTTCCAGCAGGAAGAAGGCAACCTACACACACCTCACACTCTCCTGCTTGGAAGAAGCTGCTTTGGTTAGTGCTGGGTTGGAAGCCTGCCATATGCCACAGGGTCTTTTTCCCAAGCAGGAGCCAGGGAAGGTGGTGCTTGCTTCTTCACTCCCACTTGGAGAAAAGACACTCTGGTGGATACTGGGATGGAGAGCACAGTGGATCCAAGTAAGAACATGGGGGTTGCCCCCTTCTTCCCAAGGCCATACACCTCCCAGCTGCTTCTTCCCCCTCCCACACACTCTTAGAGGCAATCAGTGAAGTGTTGCTGCCTCATTCCAGGCAGCACTGCCCAGCTGATTGGTCTGCCTCCTGCCCCAAAGATGACCATTAGGGCCGGAGGACCCAGGATGTTTGTGACAGCTGTGTCAAACTAGGGAATCTGTCATGCTTTCTGGCTAGCCACTTGGCAAGAGTGGCAACCACTGCTCTTGCCAAGCAGCTCTCTTGTTCTAGAGTTTCCACTGTGATAGATTGTGTTATCCATGTTAGGACAACAGAATAAGCAATAGTGGTAGGAGAAACCCTAGAACAGACCCAATGGTCTATTGGCAGTTTGGAGAACATAGCAGACTATATATCTATATACATAAATATTTAGTCAATATAGCATTGACTCTTTCTGCATTATGCAAACCCAGTCTATATGTTCCAGGGCTGCACTACATTATGAAAAAGCTCATTTATGGGCTTATACCCTAGTCAGCCACATTTCAAATAACCCAAACCAGTGCTGAGGAACCTGGGGGCACCTGTATGCTGTCAGACTCTACCACCCATCAACCCCAGTCTCCATGGTCAATGGTGATAGGTACTGTAGTCCAAAAAATCTGGATGGCCACAGGTTGCATACCTTTGCTTCAGACAGCAATTGCATGTAAGCTTGCTTCTACTTACTGTTTTGAGTGGACATCAGCAGAAAAGACTCTTGTTCAGTCTGGCTTGTGAATCAGGCAGGATGGCTTTAAAATGCTGATTCGTCTAAGGAAAGGCTTCAGGAGTATTTTGGGGCAGAAATGATATATCCAACAGTGACCTTAAAATATGTATACCCTGCCCTTCCTTGTGAGTTCAAGTCAGGTTCAATGACTTCAGCAATATTTGCCTCTATCCCAAAGGGTTCACAATCTATTATTAATAGGCTGCGCTTCATTAAGAATAGAATAAGTGGGACCTGCAGCTGAATTCTACACTGTGGAGTATTTCTGTTTAAATGCCAGCCAGCCACATTCAGCCACATTCTCATTCTAGAGAATCTCGATTCTCTTCTTTTCTTCCCTCCCACAGTTTTCCATTTCCATGTCACAAAGAAAATCCAGTATTCCATGCCCACTTAACATGCTCTGTCCTCATTGTTTTTGGGGTGCCATAGTTCCATAGAACAGCTCAAAGAGAACTAGGCACAGTAACACAGAATGCTGAGTGTCTGGAAGAAGGCAGAGGTGGAAGAAAGAGGAAAGCAAGGCTAGCTTTGAAACAGAATGAAACCTCATGGAAGAGGTTCCTAACCCTAACCCTGAATAGGGAATTCCATACTGCAAACATTTTGTTGCAGTTCCCACTGTTGTTTTCTATTCCCTTATGCAAGTTAGTTGCACTCAGCTGCAGTTACTAAATAATTATCCACTCTGCATTCACAAATAAGTCCACTAAGATCAGTGAGGTTTGATCCAGAGGAATATGTATAAGACTGATATTTAAGGTAGTTATATGACTAAAAATAAGTTATCATTCAGTCCTCTAGAACTAAGCAGCCATGGTTGCGCCTGACCCATTTTCAGATATTTATATTATCAGCAAACTGTGGGAAAGTGAAGGGCGGCAACAGACAAATTCAATTATTTAAGAAAAATAGTCAACCAATGTTATCTCAAAAGCCTGTTTGATCAAACCATCTGACACAGCCATTTGTGCTTTCAAAATAAGGTTTTAAGTTGACTTATATTTAAATACATCAAAAATTCAAATGACACATCATTTGAGTAGATTCCCCTTTTTTGTCCTGAATGTTGTCTTCCTTAGCTATAATCAGACCTGGGAAATAGAGGATAAGAGATGCTGAAATGTGCCATTAAACATCATAGATAGAAGTCCTTTTAAGCTACCACCACCAAATCCATTTTCAAGTAATGGGTGGGGCCTTGTTTTGCTTTGGTTATATAGATAAATCTGGGTTTGAACTATCAACTAAGAGCCCCCCTTTTTAAAACAACCATAGCCAAAACCTTGGATTTCATTTACTTCTCAAGCAAGACTTTTAAATAACCCCTACTTGTTCTGCTGTTTCCTTTCCAGCTTCCCTTGTTCCCAGCATCTGCAGAGTAGCTTCATGCACTATGCATCAACCCAAGTCATTTGGCTGGTGCTGGCAAAAAGGAAGTCCAAGAAGGAAAACCACAGTGATGGGAAGATGGAGAGATCTGGACAATGGCAGAAAGCAACCTGAATGGAAATGAGTTGCAGAATTCAAGAGCATTAAAGGAAACATTGCAGAAGTAGTTATTTTTTCATTGGTTTGCTTACAGGAAAAAAAAAACCATTCAAGATTCTGAAAGAGGTAGGATTTCAGGAAGCCAACATTTGCTGAAATGTCAATTGCCTAAATTACAGGGGAGTCATAAAACCAAAATCTCATCTAGGTGTGTGTGAAGTGTATGCATATTTGGCATGTGCTATATATAGGCAACTAATACAAACAAGTCAAATACAACTCTTGAGGAGGAGTATTGATTCTCTTGCCTGCTCCTGGTTGGTTTCAGTAGGGCTGTTCAGCCCTTCCTTTTCTCCACCATTCACCTAGCAGCTGCTTCCTCCTTTAGAATCTGCCTTGCCTGGGACTTTGGTAACAGTGCAGGTGGTTCCTGTGCATCTACCAATTTGCATTAGATGTTATTTTTCTTCACCCTGGCTCAGCAGATTTTTACGTTTTTGTCTATTGCCTTTGAATGCATTCCATATAAAGGCACATTATATTTTTAAATCTACCTATGCCAAATGAGTTCTTCCACTTTGTTCTTCCATCTCTTACACTCCTCTGCTATTCAACCTGGACCTTGAGATCTTCCAATTAAGAAAATACAAAGAAAAGGGTACATATGATTGCTGTAACTGTCTAGCCTCAATCAACAGACTGAATACTTCAGAATTAGAAGTTGTCTTATGCAGCATCCAACCACTGGTTCAACCAGTCCAAAGGTAGCACAGGTACTAGGGTGTGGTGGCCAAGTTGGATAGGAACTAGCGAAACCATGGGACTGCTATGGCATGAAGTCTGCCATCCCTTTGGTTTGCTCCCCAGCTTAGGAAACCAGGGACAAAACTGGAGAGCACTAGGACTGCCATTTTCTCATGCTATAAGCTTGACATTTCACATAGTTGCTAAAAAAACAAGACACCAATGATCTAGGGCCTTTTCTGATTGGAAGTAGCTCTCCAAATTCAGAGGCCAAGGGGGACAATTTTAACCAATCCAGCTTCAGTCTGATCACTTCATTGTGCATTTCCTAAATAGCCCATGTTTTCTTGATGCGCATTTCATCCCACATTCAGGACTGTCTGAATTGGTCCTGCATGTCTTCTCCTGTTTTGCAGCCCAGGGCATGGTCTAAGGTAAGAGTGAGGAACTCTTTTGGCCTGAGGGCTGAATTACATTTTGGAAAAGCTCTCAGGGGCTGCATTCCTGTAATGGGTGTGCTCAAAGGCAAAGAGGACAAGTCCAAAAGAAAAAAAAGCTGAGGCCAAAAAACTCCAGTATATAGTAGCCAAAAGCTCTCATTTTCAGTAACTAAACCTTGGGAGAGATACTTGAACTTTTTAGAGTAGGAGACAAACCACAGAAGCTAGGTACCTACCAAATGATTGATGGCTGGGGGAAAGTGATTGGGGCCAGGGAAAGGATATGTAGATTTCACACTCCTGCCTTAAAGGTACATGATACCTCTAAGCTGAATAGGTTTGTGGCTGGTTGATATCTGGATGGGAGACCAAATGGAATCCAAGTGTGCTGCTTAGAGTTCCATGATGGAAGAAGGCTAGAATATAAATATCCTACATCAAGGGTTTCATGCCAAATTCAACCTTCACATTTCTGTTACATAGCATTCCACTACCACCACAAAGCATCCTTTATTGATGACTGCTGTTTAAGAGCTCTCTTATTAGTTCTTCAGACTTACAATCACAGCAACTTTTTTTAAAAATGTGATACAGTGTAAGTAGAAATTTAAGTATTAATAATGGGTTAGATCTAGATTTAGTCATATTTGAAGTATGCCCACTGCAATGAGAATGACTAACTCTAAATTAGTGACTAACTGCAGTCCTATTGATGTCAGTGGGTCTACTTTGCCTCTGACTAAACAAAACACTTTCATTGTCTTATTAAAAAAAAAGAGAATGTCACATACCCAGAGACTAGGCTGTGTAGCATACATTGTCCTACTCAAAACTGCTCTGAGGGGTTGTGAGTTTTAACATTCATAAACTCAAACAGGCATAATGAGAATTCATACATGGGAAAGATACTATATATTGCCCTGAACTTTACATCCAGGAGGGTTAGTTTCTGGAGACACACTAGGAGCAAAACTGGCACGGGTCTCTAAGCACATCTTTCTTACTTAACTTTAGCCTTATGATACAGCAATAATCAATATCTGGATTTAGGGCCACTGGGCCTGCTTCCCACTTACCTGACTTTAAGAGATTTTTTTACACTTGTATGCAGTCTCCATGAAATCTGTACCCTGCATTTTTCAATGACAGAGATTCTGTGAACAGGGACAATGCATATATCACCTGTACGTGAGTTGCTGAACACAACGAGGAACAGATTGTGGGTCACACCAGACACTTAGAGATCAAGGAGGTGCACAGGCTAGAGATGGGGCCCTTCTCTCTTGAAACACAGCATTCCCATTCTCTGACTCACAAATTCAGAGTCAGAATTTGAACAAGGTGGGAGGGCAAGCGGTTAGAATATGGCACAGAAATTCCAAGGTTAACAAGCAAGATTGGTTGAGAACCAAACTGCCTCAGGTTGGGGAAGCCACTGTTGAACAGAGAGAGTCTGGGAAGTGTGAATTTATTAACTCAGTGAGCTGGTGTGAAGCCAGACAAGTGGTCCAGTCAAGTAATGTCTGGCATTAGTGCCACCTAGCCCTAAAGCAGCATGAACATCCCTTAGGGTGGAGCCAAGCCTTTTGGTAAAGTGAGGCGGAGGTCTTCAGTTCTGAATCAACCCTTCACCTGGGCGAAAGCTGCTGCCACAAATTGAAGGGAATGTTACTTTAATGATGCCTGAGAATATTCTTCTTGAAAAGAATCAATATTATCCTCTTAAAGCAACATGGGAAACATATTTAAGGAGTATTAGTAAAAAAGATAGGAAAAATATGTGGGATAAGAGTATATTAAAACATATGTAGTAAAAATAAAGGAAAAAATTATAAACTAGTATGGAAATAGTACCTAGCTCCAGTAAATTTGAATTATATGGATAGCACATATTCTAACTTACGTTGCAGATGTGGTCAGGGACTGGGTACATATTTCCATATGTGGTGGGAATGGGAATATATAATGAAATTTTGGAAAGGGATTTTAAAGAAAAGCAGTAAAATATTGAATTTAAATACTGAAGTATATCTGAAAATCATATTATTTGATAGAGAACAATGGAAAGAGTATAATTAATAATAAATTAACAGCAGTGAGATTAATTTTAGCAAAGAACTGGAAAATAAAACATGATTACCAACTGGGTTATTGGTATAGAGATATATGGAATATAGCTTGTGAAATTAAAATGGAAAGGCTATATAAATAACTTTGATGATATTTGGGAACCATTTATTGAGTATGTACCAATAAAAGGGAAAGGATTTGAACCTCTATGAGAGCCATTGCAATTTTGGATAGCAGATGGAGTTTTTTAAAAGAGCAAATGATCTGGTATGCATCTAATGGTTCCAGTGATAGGATGCATGGTTTTGTTATATTATAGTATGGCTTTAATTGTATATTTCTCTTTTAGATGTATTTTAGCTGTACTGTATATTTGCAAAAAATTAATACAATTATTTCAAAAAAGAGAACTACCTCCTTATGACGCACCCTTCATCACAAAACCCCTGTACAACTCAGATAAAGGACTGTATTTCAAAAGCCTTCTGTTTAGATCTGCTGGAAAAGGAAATGATGAGAGTTGTGCTAACAACACTTGCTCTTTGATGCAAAAACTGAAAATGCATCTCCCTACTTTGGAAAAGACCCAGAAGCACAAAGAGAGGAACTTCAAGTCATTTATGTCTGTTCTTGTCACTCCTAGAGAAAGTCCAACATGGTTCTCAGAGACACATGGTACAGGCAGATTAGAGAGGGGAACAATGTGGTTTGATCAGCCCTCACAAGTGAAGGTGTTCGTTTACATGCAAATTAGCTAGAATGTACAGTGGTATTTCTGGTATCTCTAACTCTAAAAAAAAATGCAAATAGAGGAAGCCTACAGGGGGGTTTTCCTGAAGTAGTTTAGTACTTTTTAGTTTCTACTGATCTTCTACATTTGATTTTACTTCTTGTTGCTTTTAGAGGGCCAGTTTCCCTGCATGCTGTGGCTTGCTGATGAAGGAAGACTATTTCCACATTTCCTACCTGTTTCTGAAGTTGGCATATGATTAATACACAACATGAGTTGACTGACTAGCCTGGCAGTACAAACAATTACCTGAATACAAAATTTTCTTGCTCAGCACCAAACCAGAGATGTTCCCCAGTAACAGCAATGATGCAGTGGGGGAGAATGTTGGGCAATAACTGATGCTACAAATTTCTGTGATGCAAGCTTGAGGAAAATGTTCAGTTAAGGTAAACATGTTCTGTGGGAAACAAATGCTGAAGGAGTACAGTCAGCCTCCAACAAAAGCGGATAGGGTGGCCATATAACTTCTTTTACAGCGGGCAGTTCTCTATTTGAAGGGATACTGAAGGACTGTTCTCTGTTCTGAAGCGACTCTCCACTTGAAGGGCTGCCCAGTCCAACTCCGGCTTAAAGACGAATGACCATCAGAAAATGGTGTTCAGGAGCCTTGAAGCTGCCCATCAAGAGCCCCTGAGCAATGGACTGAACAAGACACACAAGTTACCTGATCAGAGCCGCCTCCACTATGGTGACATGTACTGTATCTCTATTAAAATTGTAATAATTATTTCTGAATTTAGCACATGCATATTCTGTACCAATAGATATCCTTTTCTGGCAATTCACAAAATGCAAAATGCTGGATGTAGTCTAAAAGATCCTCTCCAAGAAAATGCCAGCCCTGCGCTTGCCACTAAAATTTGGTGGCAAACCACCAATTAGTTTGAAATGAGTCCCTGGAGATCCTCAAGTTGTCCATTCCTAGTAAAGAGTGTGTCTGAGCATTTCTCTTTCCACATTTCTCAAAAGGCATTTCTCTTATACTGAATAACCTGCTGGTTTTTAAGGATGGGTTTAAGCCCCAACATACTTCTCCATGAATGTGTAAAGCAAGAAATCATTATTAGCCCTTTTCAATGTAAAAGCTGTTGGGGAAAAAGAAACATTTACCCACATTGTTCTTTTCAAAGAGAAACAGAATAGTAATGATGTATAATTCTCTTTCAAAGAAAAGAGGCCATTTCCACTACATCAGGGATAAGGGAATGGTTAAAAGCATCAATTCCCCAAGGATGACCCTAAGGGTTTAGAAGTGTTGGCTCAGGGCCAAAAGATAACACAGAATACAATCAGGGTTGTGCAAGCATCCATTTCTAATGGTGAAGAACAGTATGTGGCAAGGACAGACCAATCCTTAGAGAAATAAATATCCCCATCTTAATCCAGGCTCTTCTGAATGGTGAAACATAGCTATTATGGTCTGATTAAGGTAGCTTAACAGCAACAGTGGGAGTTGCCATGTAATTATCCTTCTCTTTTTTCCTTCAGTTGCCATATTATTTTTGCAGCCACTCTGTAATTAAGTCACAATGCAGAATGGAATGGTTGTGAGCTGAGGTGATGATCACACAGGACAGGAGGGCAGGCAACAGAGACTACTTTAGCTCTGAAATAAGTCAGCTGAAACTCCCACCAAAATAAGAAATGAAGTTAGATCTATAGCAATGCAAACAAAGGAAAGATATGTTATATGCTGCAGTGTGGATTAAATTCTTTGCATCCAAAAAAAAGCTATTGTGAATGTCATACCAACTCCACAAAATTCCTGTGTTGCAGGTTAAAAAGTGTCTTGAATTAGCAAAGATATATGTGAAGGTATATCCCAGCAACCTCCCTTGATGTATAGCCCAATTTATCTGGAGGATATCAGTTTGGCTGGTACATTACATCTGATTAACACCCTATCGGTAGTCTCTTTCCCCTGGGGTAGGAAACATGCACCTCCTGTCTTTCTCTATCCTTTCCCCACAGTCCTGATCCAAATAAGGATCACCCACTGCCAGCAACAACCTTAGGGCAGGGCTAAGAAACTTTGATCTGGGGGAACCACATTTCCCAGGGGGTAACCTGTCAGCATATGCTTTGAGTGGGCAGCAGCAGAGCAAAAGCAAACAGGGCTATCCTCTTCTCAGTATTTGCCACCCTGCTCTGTGAGAGGACGGACAGATTGCTTTTCCCAGCAATCTGAAGTGTTCCAGAAGGCTTATGAAATGAAGCAAAGGGCTATAGGTTGCCCATTTGTTTAGCCAAAGAAAAAAAATGGGGAGTTCCAATAACAGATCTTTCATATCTTGACTGGTTTTGTCCTTGTGTTTCAATGGAAAGAAATCCTATCCTACTTTTTATACCAGCCATTTCCTGTCACAACACCACTAAAAAGATGCACATAGCAGGCCTTACCATAAAGCAACATAAACTAATTGCTTCAGACAGTAGATACCAGACAGGATACTATTTGCCTTCCCTTAGTCCCTCTTTGTGCCACAGGGAAATCATCTTTGAACCAGGTGAAAAAATGAGCCAAGACCAATTATGGAATTAATAGATTAATTTTCCAGCTCTTCACTCAGCCCTATCAATGGCAACCTCATGGCTTTAGTCATGTGGTCTATATCCTAACTATCTTTTCTATCCCACCGAGACACAGGCTTCCTCCTCCCCTGCTGCTTTCTTCTGCATGACATAATGAAGAACTAATATCCCATCATACCATCAACCTATGAAATAATTTTTTCAATGAATGATCCCCATGTACCTTTTCCATATTTCTTTCTACCCCTTGTTCCTTTTTTCTTTTCAAATGGAAGATTCAGGTCTAATTGGTACCCAGGTGTTCACAGCAAGCACAGTTGTTCATCAAGGATTGGATACAGCTTGGTATCCTGGTGAGATTAGATACTGTGGCACAGAGTGGAAAAAGAATTTAATTTTCTAAATGACTATAATTATGGTTTGATCTAATTGCTGAGAGTGGGATTGAGCATTGTCTTATGCCAATGTAGGAATAACAATGTGAATGTGGTATTTTTAAAAAAAAAACACAATTCATTGACCTCCATGGCTTGAATATTGATCATAGAAAGGCAGTGACAGAATTCTATTTTGCTGGATTGTGCTAATTACAAAGAGTCTGCCTTTTAACATCAAGCACCTGCCAGTTCTTCCATGATTAGGAAGAAAGTGGGGACCATATAGGTGGCCACTACTAAAACCACAAAGCAGTACTGATTGGTACTTGTTCAATTATGATGGAGCTTCAGACCTCACACCTCTGCACCTGAGTGTGTTTGTCTGTAAGTAGAATCTATTCTTGTAGGCACTGTACAATCAGTTCTTCTCCCTGTTATTACCTCTCTTGTACATTAGCCCAACCAGCTGGATGGTTAATAGAAGGCCATGTGGTTCCTTCCTCAAAAGCTCTAGCATCCTGGATATCTCTAAACAAGTGGCAATGAATTTAAACTGCAGAGCAATGGATTACTGAAAGAGTTTAAATGAGAAAAAAATGAAGCTGGGGAAAATCCATCTAAGGTAACCATATGGGCAATTGTAGATTGTGCATATCCTATAAGAGAAATGCAATTTCTTTGAAAAAACTGGAAATCTGAATATTTTTTTTTCATTCTTGAAGAGGTAAAACAGAACATACTTTATTTGAAACAATATATCAAGTAGGTTTAACTTTAAGGTAGATAAGCCTAAGCAGTTCCTGGTAGCTTCTCAACTGTGTATCCCATTCCTTTATTTTGGGGCTTCCTTGCAGCAAAGAAAACAACGAAGAGCAGCTCCACTATAACAGTCTTTGTGATAATGCAAACAAAGAAAATACGCTGCTGAAGAAAATTCTTGTATTGGACTGGTTCAGATTTAACTGTAATTTAGGATTACAAGAATGAGCCTGCTCTGCTCCCCTACTCTCCAACACAGTGGCAGCTTTGGCAGTGTTTGCCTATTTGAGAGCAACTGCTGCTGGAGAAAAAAACTGGTTAATTTTAATCACGTTTAGTAGAAGGAGTTAGTTAAAATGATTGTTACTGTCAACCATGATTAAGCCACAGTGGGCTGTCATATATCACCTGTCCTTTTGAATATTCAAGCCATGCTATGTTTCTGTAGTTTATCATGTCATGGCTTATGTAAGGGTTAAACAACTTATATGTAATCCTAAAACAGCCTATGGGTTATATGTGGGTTGTTTAACTCCTTTATAATCCACCATCACAAGGTTCCCATGATACAATAAGCCAAGGCTTGAAATACAGAAATTGGCTGCCAACAGCCAGCACAACCCACCATGGCTTAAATGAGCTATGGTGGTTGTAGAACCTGGTCAGTGAGTCAACTTTAAACCATGGTTTACAAAGAGGACCTATTTCCAGTAACTATAGTGAAAATTACCCACAGTTTAACTTTTGGATGACACATTAAACTGAGGTTAATCTAAAGTGGAAGCAGAAGCTTCCAATCTCCTCCTTACGGCTAAACCAGAGGAGGAATGGGAAGGGTACATGAACCCAGTGGGAGACTAGGCTCATTCTCATAAGATCCAAACACAACCACTCACTTCAACAGTCTAATTCCCAACCAGCAAAACTCAAGTTTCCTTTTGAGGCTTTTGAAATTTGCTTTGGAGAAAAACTCTTGGTACACAGAGGCCTTCTTTCTTGTTCACAGTTTCACGCAGCACATATTCATTGACCACTTGCTCATATCCCTCAGACAGGAAAAGTTCTGCTAAGAAGTCTGAAGAGAAGAAGGAAAATAAGTCTTACAAACATAGAAAATATGAAATGACAGAGATCCTAAATATGTCTGTTACTCATGAGGCAACTTGGATATCTCAGTGAGAAGTACATTTGTGAAAAATGTCCCTGATGTAGCCACAGCCCTATTAAAGTACATTGTACTGTTAAGTAGTTTGGGGAGGTATTATGTTTTATAGACCAAGGCAAAACATGTCATGATCCATCTGGCTAACAGATATAGGCCCAGGATCTGGGCTACTTTCATTGGATATGCTGTTTTGCAAACAAAGAGAGGCTCCAAATTTGTAAGGAGTTCTATGACCCTTTCCTGCGAAAGAGTAATGTATTTCATGTTGTATTATGCTGGGGCCTGAAAGTTTTATTTGTGAGGAAGGTTGTAAGTGGCTCTTTTGGAAATTTTTAAAACAAGTCAGAGTAATACAAAAGCCCACCAAGATAATGGTAAATCAGTGTAAGAACAAAGCTAAGAACAAAGCAAAGCATAAAGCTTAAACCGATACATGGATTGGGACATGAGACTTCACTTAAATAAGCTCTATTGATGGCATTACATTCTTTGAATTGTAGCCAGTGTTTCCATGCAAAATTTTCATGAATCACAAATTTGTTTAGATATTAAGTCTATTACTGTCTTTTATTCCCCTCCCTTCTTGGGAACTGCAAATAAAATGAAGTACCTTTTTAGCTCTGTAGTTCCTATTCCTAGGTAGCTGTCAATAGGTGAATCTATGATACTTTGTTTTTCTGGGGATCACAAGGTCAGAAAACAGCAACCTATTTAGAAAGTCTAAGTCTAAGCAGTATCTGAACCCAACAGTCCTTGCCTCAGCTTCCCTCCTACTGGGAAGTGGGAGGTGTTAGATAACCGCCTAGAAACATAGTTGTAATGTCAACAGAAAATTAGTCAGACATTTGCTCAATTTTTATGTAATGTCTCCTCCGGAGGTACAAAAAGCTCCCAGCCTGATATTTCTGAAACCCTAGTTTCTAGAGAGCATTTTTTCCCCTTAGAAGGATAATTTGCAATTCCTGAAATCTCTTGCTTTAAAGGAAGACTTCTCATAGCAAGAGAAATTGTATTTATGTTTTGGTTGGCACCTATTGTTCCTTTTCTGAACTACAGGCATTGCCTTGCATTTACCCTTGGTTCTAAAAATACATCTTTGATGGCAGTTTCCCCTGCAAAATTTTGATCCTTTGAAAGTAATGGATAATTAATTTGATCTGCATATAGTGTCTGCATTCCAGAGATTGAGTCATATGAACTTTTAACTGCTATGTTTGCCACAGTGGCACTACTAGGACATTGAACTGAGTCTAAAGCATCATTTGCTATACAAACAGATGTCTTGAGGAACTCTTGGACAGATCTTACTGTATCTTCTATCCACAGTAAGGAAGCTCTGGTGAAACAGAAAATGTTGAGGCTGCCTTGAGTAATGCATAATGAGCCCTGGTCAGACCTAGTCTAACTTCTGTTCTCCTGAATTCTTAAGGGGCATACCCCCATATTGGAAACTGTCAAATCCTGACAGCAACACAGCGCCTGGGACCCCAGAGGTTGTTCACTGCTGTTTGCATTAAGATACAATGCTGGCATGGGTAACCACTGGCCTGTGAGCCTAATCTGGCCCACGAATATGCTACATGCTTCCTATTGAACCTCCTTTGATTCCTTCAGGGGGCTGAGCTTGGCACTGAAGCCCCACCCCAGGAGAAATCCTTGTTGTTTCTCAGATTGGAATTAAAAGTGGAAGAGTCCCTTGTGTGCTGAGAAGGGAAGCAGTGATCTCATCATGACAACGTGCACTGCACAAAGCTGGGGACTTGACTAGTGTGGAAAGGGTAGTTTCTCTTCCCAGCTCCAGCATTCACATGATGCACTCCCCCGTGGAGATGACATGCTGTGTGTTAAGGCAGGGACTCAGCACTTCTAGGAGGAGCAGCTCCTCCTCCCAAAGGGCACACCATTTGTATGATGTGTGCTGCTTCCATGGGAACAAAGCCCACCACATGATGCTGGGGGCTCAGCAGGTCCTGGGAAGAGTGGCTGTTCCTCCCAGCGCTGTCCAAGTCCCTTTCTCTGTGCAGGGAGAGGCACGTGCTTCTCTCAGTAAGGAGACAGGTGAAATGCCTTGGGATTGGAATAATGATGTCAGTGGATGCAAGCATATTTACTAATATTATCCAACATGTGAAAAGCCCAGCCAAAAAATGGTTCCACATCCCTGGCATAATGTTTTTTGCCTAAGTTATTCACCTTTTTGCCCATTCTGACTCTATGAACTTTCCAGAGGGTGTGAAGCTTTGTATTCAGGGAAAACAAAAACTCTATGCTTTACAGAAATAGAGGATCTTAGTTAGCTAAGTGTAAACCTAATGAAGATATACAACTTTGGAGAAAAGAGGCAGGAAAATCATCTTTATTGATATAACCTTGCATTCCAAATATTACACCTTTTGCCACCTCCATGTGAATGGTGGCTGGGTGGCATTTGACAGAGGGCCTGATTTCTGTCCTCCTCCAGTAAGTTCTCCTTCAGTCTGGTTTTAGCGCCAAATCAACCCAAAGAAGTCAGATGAACAACGTAAAAAGAGTTTATTTAGAAGGGAAAAGGAAAAAAAGTGCTAAAGGATTAAAAGGAAAGAGGAAGGATGAAGAATAGGAGAAGGGAGGAGAAACCTCAAAACACAGGAACAAAATGGAACCTTGACTCCCAAGAGAACACAGACATTTCAATACAACTCCTTGACAGAAAATAGCAAATAACTATACTCCAGGCAATGGGTCTTCCAAGAACAGAGGTTCAGCAGAGTTGCTCAGGAGGAAAACCTCTGGTCAGTTCCCAACTCAGAAGGATACAATATGCCATCCCTGGCGCCTGATTTTTAACCCCTATCCTGTTAAGAGGGTGACATCCAGCAGCCAGCTCTAGAATGGTCTGTCATCTCCAGAGACATCTCTTGCCAGGGCTGTATCCCAGCTGCAGGCCATCACACACCAAAAGATTAAAGCAGAAAAGCTGAGTCAGTTGTCTGTGGGACAGACCTTCATCCCCTCTCTTTAATAAGCTCTGGGAGTAAATCACCCAGCCTCCCACCTCTCTCACCACTAGGACCTAATCAACAGAAGAAAAGCTGGTCAGCTCTGTGAACCCTTAAGTGTCTCTCCCCAGACTTTCTTCACACTGTAGGTCCTGATTGCTGAGAAAAAAAGCTGCTGGGGATAAAACAGAGACAGGTTTTGTATTCCAGCTTCTGTCTGCAATTGTCAAAATATTTCCTGAGGGAAAGTGCTGGGGATTAGGTGATTCACTGCCAGACATCTTAGAGCTGATATGGATAGTAGAAAGCATTGTTTTGGCCCTATATCCGATTATCCTTCAGCCTCAAGGAAGGAGCTAGATACAAATGACAGATGTCTTCTCTTTTTTAGGAGAACATGGAATTGGTCTTTCTTAAAGTAGTGCTTAATTCCACTGATGTCTGAAATCTTCATTTTTGGAACAAATTACTTTTCAAAGCAAAATGAATAATATGGAGGTCCCATTGGAAGGAAAGTCTAAGGAAGCCCTAGCCTGAGGTGAGAGTGACTGTGATTCTCTTGCAGAGCTGCATGTTATACAGGAAGCAGCTGCTGCCACATCCTTTATCCTTTGCTGCCGTCTAGTGATAGCAGTTCCTCACGGACTCATAGAACTGATTTAGGCCATTCCTTCTTCAGAGCAGGAATCCAGTTTCCTTACTTGCACATGTTGCCCTTTCTGTGCTGTAGGCTTGGTGTCAGTGCCATAATGAGCAGGACAGAGAAAGAGCAGCAAGAAATTTCTTTGTTTTGGATTTTTTGTTGGGCCATACACAAAAAACAAAGGAGAGAAGTAGGAAAAAGGAATTGGAATAAAGAACAGTCCAGTAAAAGCTCCAAAGCTAAGGCAGAAAGAATGGGGGTAGAACATTCCAAGTGCAAGGTTAGTGCAAATGAGATCACATGCTACTCTGCCTTTACAAAAGGTTGTTCTGCCTTTACATCTAGTTTGGATGTCACACACAAAAATAGAGAAGACAAATGTCATAGTTAACCTTGTTCTTCTCGCCTTCCCAACTGGCAGGACTTTAAGTGGAAAAAAAAAATCTAAATTTGGTAAATGGCTTCTCAATCTTGTAGGAGCATCTCCTTAACTTTGACAGACGTTAATGTAATGCCTTTATGTCTAAATAGTGACTCCATAAGAAGTATTTGGCCTTGTCTTGCCCTAACATCTGCATTCACATCTCCACCTGTAATGCTACACTTAACAGTTCAGTTTGAATACCTTTGCTGATAGCAAAGGTATTCAGTATATCACATCTGAAATACTTGCTCTCCACTTCATAGCACCAAGACCAGTGGACTTAAGTATACAGAGATTTATTACCTCAAGATGTGGTGATGGCCACCAACTAAGGCAATGTTTAAAAACAATTTGACAAAGCCAGGATGATATCAATCCCAATGAATCATGATGGCTATAGACTACCTGCAGGATGGACACGAACAATACAGAGAGGGGCTATTGCACTCATGCCCTGTTTTTGGGTTTCCCAGAAGCTTCTGGCTGGCCACTGTCAGAACCAGGATGTTTCACTGATCCAGCTGGGCTCTTCCTCTTTTCTTAAACACTGTAAAGCACCATGCACAAGCCAAGTGCTAACAAATTACCATTGATTTTCATTATTCACATTTAGGAAAATCCTGCTAGGCCATATAATAATTTAAGAAAGCACCAAGTAAACCAATAGCCAGAGCCAATAGACTCACCAGCAGCAAAAAAGTATGATCTGGTTCCATCTTGTCTTACATAGAAGTTTTCTCCAAGCTTGCTAGCAGACTTAAACCTCAACATTGCATGATCGTAGAGACCATAATCTCTGAACAGCACACATTTACCTGGCTTTAGCACCTGACAGACAAAAATGTGACACAGCAGTGAACTGGGAATTATGAAATAGAAATATAGGGTAACGTAATAAAAATGGAACATTTCATGTCACTAAGGTTCAGTTGTTTCAGATATCATTTTACAATAAATCAATTTCACTAGTCATTTTACTTCTAGGATTATAAGTTTCTTTACAATAGCAGCCTTTGAATTCTGTTTTCATAATTCTTACCTCTACATCAGCGTGTTCAAACATTTTTTATTATTCCTTATTAACCATATTTGTACTGTTATTTAAGACATGTTTACTTGCCTTATAAATATT